CCTAATACCCTAACCCTAACATCCTGCTGGCAGTGGCTGTTCTCGCTGGGCAGGCGTCCCAAAGCACATCGAGCCAGATTCAGGCAGAGTGGAACTGGCCCCTCAGCCATCAGTGGAGGTGGCCTGGGAGGCCCTACCCTGAACGGGGTCTCCCCAAGGCGATGCAGAAACTGGGACACGCTCTGCTGAGCATGGGGCTGGCTGGAGTGAGGCTTGTAGGTGGTCCCCACGTGGGGATTAAGATGTCAGGTCTTTAATCCCCATGCTGTTCCCATCACAGGCTGACCAGGGTCGGTCCCAGGGCCCAGCCAGGGACACAGAGGTGGGAGAAGAGAGGGAGAAATAGACTCAGAGGTCCTGAGAAAGACAGGCAGAGAGAGATGATGGAGAAAAACACATGGAGACCCTGAAAAGAGATGGAGAGGAAGAGGAAGAGACAGATACGCAGGGATGGCAGAGAGATCCTGGAAAACAGAGAGCGGGAGGAGAAAGAGAGCCACTGAGAAAAGGGGAAGACAGCGATGTCCAGAGAGAGGAAAGACAAAGATAAATAAAGAGAACAGAAATGAAGAGAGATAGAGAGACCTGAGAGAAAAAGAAAAAGACCTGAGAGAAAAAGAAAAAGAAAAAGAGAGAAACAAAGAAATCCAGTCTAATTACAAAGAGATAGAAATGCCAAGGCAGGAGGATCACTTGAGCCCAGGAGTTAGAGACCAGCCTGGGCAACATAATGAGACCTGGTCTCCACAAATATTTTAAAAATTAGGTAGGCATGGTGGCACGCACCTCTAGTCCCAGCTATTTGGGAGGCTCAGGTGGGAGGATCACTTGAGCCCAGGCGGTCGAGGCTGCAGTGAGCTGTGATGGTGCCACTGTACTCCAGCCTGAGTAACAGAACAAGACAGATGAAAGGGGAGAGAAGAAGAAAGGGAAAAGAGGGGAGGGGAGGGAAGAAAGAGGCTGGGCACGGTGGCTCACACCTGTGATCCTAGCACTTTAGGAGGCTCAGGCAGGAGGATTGCTTGAGACCGAGAGTTGAAGACCAACCTGGCCAACCTAACAAGACCCTGTCTCTATAAAAAAAAAAAAAAAAAAAAAAAAAAAAAAAAAAAAAACAAAGAGAAGTAGGGAGGAAGAAAAATTGAACATTCTTTCAACAAATATGTACTAAGCACCTACTGCTGTACTGAGCACTGTTTTAAGCGCTGGGATACAGAAGCGAACCAGACAAAATCCCTGCTCTAGAAGAGCTGACGTTGCGGAGGACAGCCCACCCGATCAAAACAGAGGAAGAGTCAGGAGCTGGGGAGAGAGCCAGAGGCCATGATAAAGAGGATCCATTAAAGCCTGTCACAGAGGGTGGGGTAGGGCTGGGGGAGGATGCGGCTTACGGTGCCCCGCCACACCCCCACTGTCCGTGGAGTCAGCAGCTCTGAGCAGGGGCCCTGCCCCACAACCCCTGTCAGTCACCAGGTTCCAGAAAGGCTGACAGGTAGGAAGACCCAGGACAGGGCAGGACAGAATATGGAGGTACAAGGGGGTCAACACGCAGAAAGGCACCCTGAAGAAATAAGGAGAGGCACAGAAGTGCCAGGATGAGATAAAGGGAAGCACAGACTGGGGGAGATACAGAGAGAGGAAGACACAGACATACTGAAAAGAGAGACAGAAAACAGACACAAACAGAGGGAGAGACAGAAAGAGGAGAAAGCGATGAACACAGAAACACAGAGACTGAGAGTGAGGGAGGCTGGGTGCGCTGGTTCACGCCCATACTCCCAGCACTTTGGGAGACCAAGGCAGAAAGATTGCTTGAGCCCAGGAGTTGGAGACCAGCCTGGGCAACACAATGAGATCCTGTCTCTTCAAAAAACACAAAAATTGGCCAGACGCGGTGGTGTGCACCTGTGGTCCCAGCTACTCAGGAGTCTGAAGTGGGAGGATTGTTTGATCCCAAGAGGTTGAGGCTGCAGTGAGCCATGACTGTATCACTGGACTCCAGCCTGGGGGACAGAAGCCAAACTGTGTATAAAAAAAAAAGAAAGAAAGATAAGAGAGAGAGCAAGTGAGACTGAGAGATGAAACAAAGACACACAGAGAGACCCTCCCAGAGACAATGCCAGTCCCAGGCTCTGTACAGACCCTCCACCATCTCCCCAGGTCTGGGCCCTGTGCCAGGCACTCGGAGGAAGGCTGGATCTGGCCAAGCAGGGACAGGCAGGAGGGTGGACCACATTCCTGAACAGTCTGTTTCAAATACAGCCCCAACCTCACCGCTCCCACCACCCCAGCCCTGGCCCATCCAGGCCTGAGTCTGCCCCCTCTAGCCTGTGCCCTAGGATAGGGGGTTGTGGGGGGGATAGATGAGAGAATGAGGGATAAGTTTGTCTGCCGTCATGGCCTGGCCTCAGACAGGGACTTGGGGGACTGGATACCAGGGGGTTCAGCGGCATGGGCACAGAACATTTGGGAGCATCTGGGAGCCAGTGCCTTGGGAACACAGATGGTAGATTCAGGGCAAGACAGAATATGGAGGTACAAGGGGGTCAACATGCAGAAAGACACCCTGAAGAAATAAGGAGAGGCACAGAAGTGCCAGGCTGATGGACACCCAGAAGCCAGGGAAATTGAAGGTGGATCTGGGGAACAAGCGTAGCACACAGGGTCCCAAGAACAATGGAAGTGACAAGGGCTCAGGTGTGAGCTCCGAGGAATCACAGGCACAGAGCGCAGGAGTGTCAGGGGTGTCCTTAGAAGGCTATTTGAGCCAGGCGCAGTGGCTCACGCTTGTAATCCCGGCACTTTGGGAAGCTGAGGCAGGCAGATCACCTGAGGTCAGGAGTTTGAGATCTGCCGGGCCAACATGGTGAAACTCCATCTCTACTAAAAATACAAAAATTAGCCGGGCCTGGTGGTGCATGCCTGCAATCCCAGCTACTCGGGGGGCTGAGGCAGGAGAATCTTGAACCTGGGAGGCAGACGTTGCAGTGAGCTGAGATGGCACCACTGCACTCCAGCCAGGGTGACAAGAGCTAAACTCTGTCTGAAAAAAAAAGAAGAAGGAGAAGAAGAAGTGTATTTGAGAGTCAGTGTGTATTTAGGAATCAGAGGTCCAGGGTACAGCATTCAGGGGGCCCAGAGGTGGCCCGGAGATTGAGGAATACACACCTGCAGGCCAAGTAAATTGGACTCAAAGGTGCTAGGGGCTCAGGAGGCTGCACCTGTTGGCCAGGTGTGTTGACATGAAAATGCTGGTGCACGAAAGTTGCTAAGTAGGGCAGGCTGAGGCAGGCACACAATGTACCCTAGAACATAAAGTGTAAAAAAAAAAGAAAGAAAGAGAGAGAAAGAAAGAAGGAAAGAAAGAAAGAGAAAGAGAAAGAAAGAAAAGAAAGAAAGAAAAGAAAGAAAGAAAGAGAGAGAGAAAGAAAGAAAGGAGAGAAAGAAAGAAAGAAGGAGAGAGAGAAAGAAAGAAAGAGAAAGAAAAGAAAGAAAAGCAAGCTGCCAGCCAGGGCACAGTTCCACTAGGGCTGGGGGCGGGGTGGAGACGTCGGGTTGGGGAATCCACCGAAGGAGCAACCGGGAGACACCCACTCCTCCCACATCGGGTGTCCACCCCTGCTCCACCCCTAAGACCCCTTGGAAATCAAATAGAGATGAAGGGGTGCAGGCGTGGAGAACTGCAGGCATGATGATAGCCGGTATCGCAGCGCTGCTGTTGTGGCTTCTGGTGCTGGCGCTGGCGCGGTGGGGGTAGGGTGGGTGCCGAGCTCGGATGCGGGGGTCCCTACCTCCCCGGCCCAGGCCACTCCCATTGCTGGGGAACTTGCAGCTGCAGTCCGGAGGCACGGACCACGCACTCCATTCCCTACAGGAATGGGGGAACGGAATTTTGGATCCGTGGAGGTGGGGCTGGGGACTAGAACTCCTCCTGAATGAAGACAGCTAAGGGCTTGTACTCTAAGACCCTGAGGAAGGACAGGAAGGATGAGTGCTCAGGACTCCTGAGTTCTAGGAAAGGAGACTAGGGAGTGGACAGCTTGGGGTGGGGACACTGGGTGGTAAGGAAGGAGCCCAGAGCAGGAAATCAGGTTGTGGGAAGAGGGGAGCAGAGGGTCTGTTCTCCTGGTTCAAGGTGGGGAGGCTGAGTACTGAGGGCGTAGGAGCCCGACTCTGAGGGTGCAGGAGGCTGGGAAGCTGGACTTCTAGGTCCCAAGGGAAGAAGGAAGTGGGGGCCTGGACTCCTGGATCTCAGGGAGGAAGGAGCTGGGGATCTGAACTCCTGGGCCTGAAGAATGAGGGCCCGAGACGAGGACTCCTGAGTCTGAAGGAAGAGAGAGCTGGGGGCGAGGGCTCCGATGAGAAACCCGATGGGCACCAGCTGAGCACCGGCTCCCTGTAGCTCTCCGGCCGCTGGGGCCCGGTGTTCACAGCGCAGCTGGGCCCGCGCCCTCCGTGGTGCTGTGCGGCTACGCAGCGCTGCGGGACGCGTTAGTGCTACAGGCGGATGCCTTCTCCGGCCGCGGTCCATGGCAGTCTTCGAACGCTTCACACGCGGACACGGTGAGGCCCGGGCGCTGGCCGTGCCGGCCTGCACACCTCAGGCTGGCCCGTAAACGGTAGAGCGGGCAAATGGGGGCGGGACCTAATAGAGACTCCAGCTAATGAGGTGCAAACGGCCGAGAGAGGGCGCGCGGCGCTAAAGCGTAAGGTTCGAATCGAGTTCATCCTGCAGCCAAGAGGAGAGAAGAGCCTAAGAGTCAAAGCCGAGAGCCAGCCTAGGTCAGAGATCAAGCCCAGCAAACGCGGGGCCAATGCGTGGATAGGGCACTTAGAGGTCGGGTAAAGAAGCAAAGCGCAGGAAGTCGGCCGCAGGAGTCGGAGGCCCCGAAAGGGATGTAGCCCAGTGACCTGGCGCTTCCTGGATGGGGGCGCAACTCCCGGGCCCGCCTCCTTTCCTGTCCCCACCACAGGAATCTTGTTTCTAACGGGCCGCGCCGGTGGACACTGCGCAATTTTGCAGTTGGAGCGCTGAAGGAGTTGGGGTTAGGTACACGGACCATCCAGGCGCATGTCCTGGAGGAGGCGGCTTGTCTGCTAGACGAAATGCAAGCCACCATTGGTGCGGCCTGGCTGGGAGGGCAGAAGGGCCTGGTGTGGGAGTGGCCCTTGGACTGCCAAGATGGGGCCACGGGAAGGTATTTGGGTGGAAGGAAGCCAGTAAACCCATGGGGCTGGCTGGGGGCAGGACCACGCATTATGACCACCGTCCTGTTCCTACCCCCAGGAGCCCCGTTTGACCCCATGCGACTACTGGATAATGCTGTATCCAATGTTATCTGTTCTTGTCTTCGGGAACCGCTATGGCTACGGGGACCCGGAGTTCCTGAGGCTCCTGAACCTCTTCAGTGACAACTTCCGCATCATGAGCTCCAGATGGGGCGAGGTGAGAGGGCCGGCCACAGTCTCTCCCTTGTGCGTCCAGCCTTATGCCAAATCCCGAGTACACAGACCTACCTACAGTGGATCATTAGAATGGGACAGTTAGATTCTTGGAAGAGTTCTAGAACCTCCAATATCAACGTCCTGGTCCAATCTCCCTGAAGGGAAACTAAGACCTAGTGGCCTTGTCCAGGGCCCTTGTTGAGATCCTCTCTCTCCAGATGTACATTTCCCCGTCCCTCATGGACTGGCTCCCAGGCCGGCACCGCCGAATCTTCCGAAACTTTCGGAGCTGTGGGTCTTCATCTGTGAGCAAATCCAACAACACCGGCAGATGCGGCAGCCGGCAGAGCCCCGCGATTTCATCAATTGCTTGACCAGATGGGTAAGGCGTGGTTCCCAGCTCCCTAAACTCTATCTTTGCCTCCCATCAACAGGTGCCTGGCACGCGGCAGCGTGCCCGTCTCCTCTGCCCACAGCAACAGCAAGACCCAGAGAGCCATTTCCAGGAGGAGACGTTGGTAATGATGATGCACCTTTTTTTTTTTGGCGACACCGAAACCACCAGCACCACCCTGTGCTACGGGTTTCTCATTCTGCTTAAGTACCCAGAGGTGGCAGGTCTGCAAGCTAGAGACCCAGAATGGGAGGCTGCGGCCTGGGGATGGCTGGAGGGTCCTGGAAGTGCGCAGCTCACAGCCTACCCCAGCCCCAGCCAAGGTGCAGGAGCTGGACCCTGTGGTAGGGCGGAGACGCGCCCCAAGCCTGGACGACCCCGAGCGACTGCCCTACACCAACGCAGTGCTGCTCCAGATCCAGCGCTTCATCAGCATGGTGCCCCTGGGGCTGCCGTGCACCCTCCCCCTTGACACCCACCTGCACGGCCACTGTCTAGCCAAAGGTGCCCACTGAGTCTGGGTATCCTGTGCGGGGCCCGGGTGCATGAGGTGTGTTCTGAGATCAGCCAGAATCGGCAGGTGTGCGCTGTGCAGACTGAAGCACAATCAGTTACCGCTGGAGCAGGATGGTAGGCCTGCCTTCCCTTCAGCTTTTATTTTATTTTATTTATTTAATTTTTTTTTTTTTTTTTTTTTTTTTTTTTTTTTTTGAGATGGAGTGTGGCTCTGTCGCTCAGGCTGGAGTGCAGTGGCATGATCTAGGCTCACTGCAACCTCTGCCTCCTGGGTTCAAGCAATTCTCCTGCCTCAGCCTCCTGAATACCTGGTATTACAGGCATCCACCACCACACCTGGCTAATTTTTGTATTTTCAGCAGAGACAGGTTTCGTCATGTTGGCCTGGCTGGTCTCGAACTTCTTGACCTCAAGCGATCCATGCTCCTCGGCCTCCCAGAGTGCTGGGATTACAGGCATGAGCTACCTGCCTGGCCTATTCCCTTGAGCTTTTAAAAAGGGCCTTGGATGGAGGAGGTGCACATGCTCACCAAGCCCACAGGTAAACCAAGTTGCATGTACCCCCAGGGCACCTTTGTGATTCCCCTGCTTGTGACTGCACACTGACCCCACTCAATTCAAACACCCAGAATGCTTCAACCCTACCAACTTCCTGGACAGCGCTACCAACTTCCTGGACAACGCTACCAACTTCCTGGACAAGGGCAAGTTCCAGGGCAATGACCCTTTCATGCCCTTTGCCTCAGGTGCGGGCAGGGGAGGAAGGCGACCAGCCTGGACCGGCTCTGGGGTGCATGGTGCTCACTATGCACCCGTGTACCTGGGAAAGCAGATGTGCCTGGGCGCAGGCCTGGCCCAGTTGGAGATCTTCCTATTCCTTACAGCCACCCTACAGAGGTTCCTGCTCCCTGTGGTAAACCCTGGCACCATCAACCTCACCTGCAGTTCACTGGCCTGGGCAGTGTCCCCCCAGCCTTCCAGCTCCAGCTAGTGGCCTGCTGAGGTCAGGCTCCGCTGTAGTGGGCTCACTGGCCCTCAAACCTCCGCACCCTCCTTGGTCAATAAAGGCCCTAAACTGCAGATGGAGTCAGATGTGTGCAGCTCTGAGGTAAACTTTTATTTCTTGGCTGACAGGACTTCCACACCCATGCTCCTCCTGGCACCTTTTACTCTGCCCACGCAGTGGCAGCCCAGTCTCAGTGACACCTGACACAGAGCCTTCTTGGCACCGAACATGACTTTAATATTCTCCTGGTGTCAAGTTCAGTGCTAACTTGTTTCCCATCCTCATGTACACCTGGGGGCAGTCCCAAAGCCAACACGATGCCACTCCCTCTCTGGCCATACCTGATGCTTGTAAGGGATTATTGGAAGGACAGCCAATAAAGGAATGAAGCCAATAGACCCAAGTTCAGGCAAGCTGATGTATTGTCCGTCCTGCCACGCTACCCCTTGACAAAAGCAGAGGAGGCAGCCCCGCTTACAGGTTATAGCCACCCTTCTCAATTTCCTTACTAATAAAGGCTATAGGGCCTCTCCCTACAAACAAACCAAAACTTCCTCCCACCTTTCCACTCCACCGTGACCTACTTAGGAGTTAAACTCTCCCCCAGGTCCTGAGCCATAACCCCAGCACAGGCAGCCTTAATAGACAGCCTATCTCCAACTTCCTCAAAAAAAAAAAAAAATCATGTCTTCCTAGGGCTAGCAGGATTTTTAAAAAATATGGATTCCCAACTTTGCCCTCCTAGTTCACCCCCTTTATAAAGCAGCCAAAGGCCCCTTCAATAAACCCCTAATCTCCTCACATAACATACTCCCCAACTTCCACAAACTCCAAACCGCTCTTATCTCTATATTGCCAAAAACCAAATAAGAGCCCTTGGTGTCTTAAGACAACAACAACAAAAATCCTCTTTCCTTTGCTCCTATAGCCCACCTCTCTAAACAACTCAACAACAGAGTCAAAGGGTGGCCAACCTGTCTTAGAGCACTAGCAGCAGTGGCTGTTTTAGCTGTAAAAAGCAGGAAACTAACATTCAGCCAAAATACCACCATCTACAGTCCTCATAATCTACAAGATGTCCTCTCCTACCAAGCATGAAGCTCTCTTCCTCCTTCCCAGATTCAAGGACTCCATGCCCTCTTTATCAAAAATCCCAAATTCTGCCTTACCAAAAGTGCTCCCCTCAACCCAGCATCCTTACTCCTTATGCCCTCTTCCCTTCCTACTCATTCTGACACTGACCTCCTAGACCCCCTGCAGCCACACTTCCCAAACATTCCCTCCAATCCTCTCACCAACCCCAATGACCAGCTATTCATAGACGGCTCCTCTTCCAGGCCGACCGGCTCCCCTAAAATTGCTGGATACTCAATCGTTTCTCTTGACCAAGTAATTAAAGCCAGGCCCCTACCTCCAGGAACCTCCTCCCAAAAAGCAGAACTTATAGCTCTCACCAAAGTCCTAACCCTTTCCAAAGGCAAATAAGTCAACATTTATACAAACTCCAAATATGCCTATCACATCCTTCATTCCCACACTGCCATCTGGCAAAAGAAAGTATTCTTTACTGCCAAAGGAACCCCCATCACTACCGGCCCCTGGGCAGCCTGGGTAGGCTGACACATAGCTGCTGCTAGGAGCTGGTATTTAGCACAATCTTGTTGGACTTTATCTAATTTCTTTTGCTCGTCTCTGTTGTTGAAGACCTTAAAGGCCAGGTTAAGAAGGACTTGTCGAGGGGTTTGAGGGCCCTCTTCTACCTTTCTGAGCTCGTGCGGTATGTCAGGAGCAGACTGAGATGAAATGGATATTAAGAACAATGGTTCCTGGGAGGTGGGGTCAACACGGGCGTATTTTTGGAGGGCCTCTGTAAGGCGGGAAAGAAATTTGGCAGGGTTTTCATCGGCTCTTTCAGAGATTTCTTTGCACTTTTCAAAATTTACGGCCTTATGGGCTGCTTTGTTAAGGCCTACGATGAGGGAAGTTGTTATACCCAGACCGTTTGTTCCCCAAAGAAGACCACCAGAGTCCAGAGTCAAAGCCAAGCGGCAAGGATCCTTTACTACAAGTTCGAACTTGGTCCCTCCATTCCACAGCATACAAGACGGTTGAACAATGTGAGTGCTTGCTTTTTAGAGCCCGATGTAAATAGGATACGTAAAGTTACAGAGGAACAAGGGAATTCTTTTGGTTACAGCATTACAATTGGTTTACATTTTAAGTTATACATTCAGCAGTTTTTCTATTGGTTCCCGCGCTTTCAGTAAAACCACAAATGGCTGTGTCCTTATCGGGGACTTTCCAGGTGGTGTTTTTCTAAAGTTGAGATATATGGTAGTCTCTGAGTTGAGAGGTGTGTTTGTACTGGGCTCAGGAAGTTAAGAGATACATGGTGGGATGTGTTTGTACTGGGCTCAGGAAGTTAAGAGATGTATGGTGGGATGTGTTTGTACTGGGCCTGTTTGTTTTGAGCCCGGGGCTGAGGAATGTGCCTGATTTCTTTCAAAGTAATCGTGTGGTTACGAGACACCCGGTCGGGGTCTGTGGGTTGGTACTCCCAGAGGGGTTACTCCCAGGGAACTGCAGCAGCCCCTACGGGCTTAATAGGGTCTTGCCGATGAAGATCGTCGGCATGTACCTGTGCTGCGAGCCACACTCTTTCCTTCTCTTCTGGAAGAAGGGTAGAAGAGAGGATAATGTAGAGATCATGCCAAGTGAGTTTATAAGATTGGGTAAGGTATTTAAATTCTTTGATATAAGTGTCAGAATCGGAAGAAAAGGGCCCGAGATGTTTTTTAATTTGGGAGAGGTCGGAGAGGGAGAAGGGAACGTGGATGTGAATGATGCCTTCAGCTCCGGCCACCTCTCGGAGGGGAAGTATGGGGGCTGGTTGTTGGGCATTCTGAGTTCCAGAGTGGGTGTGAGGTGGAGATGAGGATGAATCAGAGTCAGGAGCTGGGTGATTGGAGAGAGCGGGGAAAGACGGAGGGCAGGAGCAGGAGCCTAGGGTGGAGGGTCGTGATGATCGGGTGGAGGATTATGTTGACGGGGCAGGGGGAAGTCGGCAGGGTCAAAGGAGGAGGAATCATCAGAAGGAAGGGAAGCTGAGGATGAGTCTGACTCAGAGCTGGCAAGGAGGATTTGGAAAGCGGAACAGAGCTGACAGAGGGAGGGGAGGCTACAGAGGGCAAAAATGGCCTGAACATAAGGGATTTCAGACCACTTTTCATTGCGATAGCAAAAGTTGTCTAGGTCCCTGAGGATGTTAAAATCAAATGTGCCATTTTCAGGCCACTGGGAGCCACTGTCCAATTTATACTGAGGCAAGGCTGTATTACAATACAAGATGAGCCTTTTTGGCCAAATTTCAGATCGGAGGTCAAGGGCATTAAGGTTATGGAGGAGACACACGAGGGGGGGATGTCTTTGACGGAGTGGATTGGGAGGCTCCTATAGTGGAATGAGAAAGGGAGGGGTAGAGATAGGAGACTTGGCTGGAGACTAGAATGGTGGGAGAAGGAGTCCCTTGTCCCACGGTTCAAGTCGGAGAAGTACAACAATTCCCCACTCAGGCATCCCTGAAAGGGAGACACCGAGGGCCTAGAGGGCCTAGAGGCTGGGAGGAGGAAACTCTTGGCTCAGCGCTGTGTCTCTTTCAGGAAGGAAGAAGCGGACAAGGGTTCCGGATGGAAGGCAAAAGTCTCCTTCCATCCGGAAGGAGGCTGCCTTGGTGTTGGATGTATCTGCCGGCAATGGAAAGGAGTAGGAAATCCTCTGGGTCTCCCGCAGGTTCTGGAAGGGGGAGTTCGGCCGGGGAAAGTGGGGAGGGAAGGAGACAGAAATAAAGGGAGGCCAAACTCTACCACCTTCCCAAGTTTTGGCACCAAGATGTAAGGGATAATTAGAAGGCTAGCCAAGAAAGGAATGAGGCCAATAGATCCAAGTTAAGGCAAGATGATTTATTGTCAGTCCTGCTGCGCTACCTCTTGACAAAAGCAGAGGAGGCAGCCCTGCTTACAGGCTATAGCAAGGTTTTATAAGACATAGAACTGGGTCAGGGTGAAGGAAAAACAAAAGGGGGGTGGTCCTTTGTGCCAGGTGGCTGACCACTTCCTGGAGATGTTTTACTTGCCAGTTCTGTTATGCAAGATAGACATTGTAACCGCATCCTGGGACAGCTGGCCTCTGGTCAAACAGTTACAGGAAGGTTTGGGTAGGGAGTTTTACTTTTTGGCCTTTGGCCTTAGGTCTATGGGAGGGGGAAACAGTCCAGTTTGGTGGACCCTAACAATGCTGAAATCAGAGCCCACCAGGGTCATCCCTGTGTCCACTGCTGATGCCACTCTCAGCACTCACCTCCTGCTAAGCCTGGCCCGCGCTTGAATCCCAGGGTGATCTAGGCCAGTCACTGAAGGAGGACGAGGAAAGAGTTCACATCCCAGCTCCCTCACTTACTCCCTGTGTGACCTCACTCAAGAGGATTTATGGAGTCCAGATCTGCTCATCTTCAAAATGAGGATGATGATGAACCAACCTCATTGTTACAAAGATTCAACCAGATCATACACACCTAGACTTAATCTTCCCATATACAGCCGTGCTCACCAAAGGGTAACTGTCCTGTTTACTAAGGAAGAATTTCCCTGAGGGAAGGACAGGAGGCTACTCATCCCTGCTCCACTCCCACCCACCCCAGGCTCTGCCTCTGTGCCTAACACTGGAGTTTACCCCAATCTCTTCTGCGATTGTTCCCTCTGCCTGCTAATAGTACTAGCCCCTGACAAAGCAGGAATCGCCCTCAAAGAAGACTTAGCTCACCCTCAAATATGATCCTCTCTTCCTAAATAGTCCCTTTCCACTGGTGGGTAAACCAAATCCAGAAAGGGGAACTAAGGACACAGAGCAGGAGAGACGGGCCACTCACACGTGTCCCCTGCCCACTGTCTGTTTTCTGTCCTCCGTAGACCCTTATATAAAATGAGAAACATAAATAACAATAATAATATTAATAGGGATGATACAATCAATCTAGTGGATCTCCCTAAGATCTGGGTTGGAAACCAGTGGAGGTCTT